TATTCCTCCTTTCTACTTTACAGTAGTTTCCAATTTTTCTTTAGGTGTTATTACATGATGGAATATACATCCTTATGAAAACTTTTATTTTGAACTTAACATAATCTCACGATGCTTTTATCTCAAAATTTCTGTCCAAACTGTCTGCTCCCCGTCTTTGCCTCCCTGATTTAGAACCAACCCCTTGCAGCCCAGTCTCAGATGGGCTGATGTTCTGTTTCCCAAAAGGGAACTGGACCCTAGTCTTTCCTGGAGAGTCCTCAGGTGGTTGGGGCCACTGTGTGAGCGGACTGAGCTGAAGGAGGGACGAGGAAGACGCAGTCCATGTGTCCTGGCTAGTCAGACTACGGCTTCCACATAATGTTGATGTTGACAGAGACTGTAAGTTCCAATATTTTATAGAACGGTGGTAACCACTGGTTGAATAAAATTAGGTGTATCATTTCCAAAAGCAAAAGGGAAGAAGTAAAGAAAATCTGAGTAAACAAACGGATACTAGTGATAGAAGGAACTATTTGAAGGGGAAAAATAAACCCAGATAACATGCCACAGAATGACAAAATCAAGATCAAATGTATCCTTTTCATAATAAATGCGAATGCTTGAAATCTTTCTAACAAAAGGCACAGACTTCTTTTGGCCCAGAAGCAAAATTAAATTTTATTGTTTATAAGAACATATGCCTGGGGGGCGCCTGGGAGGCTCAGTCGGTTGAGCGTCCGACTTTGGCTCAGGTCATGATCTCACAGTTCGTGGGTTCGAGCCCCGTGTCGGGCTCTGTGCTGACAGCTCGGAGCCTGGAGCTGCTTCAGATTCTGTGTCTCCCTCTCTCTCTGCCCCTCCCCCACTTGTTCTCTCTCTCTCAAAAACAAATAAAAGCATTAAAAACAGAACACATGCCTGAAACAGGCTGAAAGGTCAAAGGACCCATAGTAGGTCTTAAATGGTCTCACCATTAAAAAAAAAAGATAACCATATGAGGTGATGGAAGTGTTTACTAACATCACTGTGGTGAGCATTTCATAATATGTGCATGTACCGAAACACCACATTGTATACCTTACAGAGGCTCAATGTCATAGATCGATTATATCTAAATAGAGCTGGAAACGGACTTTGGACCAGTGAAAACATACGAGACACATAAAAACAAAAAGTAATACAAAAATTGATAAAAGTACGACAGAAGCAGAAAGCCATAAATGCAACAAAATAGGTTACCTTCTATGGATAAAATTCTAACCCACAAGGAAGACACAACGGTTAGTTATGAAAGGGGCTGACTACCACGGCACCAGAAGCCGTTCTAAGCAAACTCACAAACACAAGGCACAGCAGACACCATGGTAATCGGAGACTGCGGACAACGGCCCTCCGTCTTCCATACGTGAAGAAAACAATAATCAGGACACGGGTCATTTGAACGGTAAGTCCAGAAGTCTTGACTTATGGGATATGTCATGGGGTTGACATTGATCACTATGCTTCCCTCCCCCTCCACCCCTTCCCAGGGCTCTCCTGCTCTCACCCACACAGGGAGATGGGAGTCACTCACCACCGGACCAGACGCAAAGACTGCAAAGACGACTCAGAAGCTGCCCGAAGCACGAGGGAGACAAGTGTCAGAGCATCCAGCACAGCACTGCGCACCGGGGAGGGGGCGGGGCGTGAGAAGCAGGGACTGGAAGGAAAGAACACTGGTGCGGAACACGGCGGTCCATTCGGATGCCAGCGACTGTCACCGCGGCCCCCCCCCGTCACTGACGCGTGAAGACCACCGAGTGCCCCGAGATTCTCCAGTTTAGAGCGATGCTTATCTGCGCCTTAAACCGCTCCTCTGCTTTCTTCCCGCGCAGGCAACTCCGCGAAATAGCCCAAGACGATTGTCTACTCCTGTTCTAAACAGAGTGAGGAGCTGTGGGCCCTGGACTGGAAGGTGACATAAAGGCCAAGCCTTGAACTGGCCAGTGTGACTCTAGCTAACGCCAGTTTGAAATCTCCCTCTGAGCTAGGCGCTGCAGTGGAAGGTTTGTCCTGTGATGGAGAAAAAGAAAACTGTACCACAAAAACAGAATACACACTATTTCAAACTTCTACGGTACATTTATAGCATTTAACGTAATAGACTATGAAGAAACACCTTTAAGATCTGTTATTTGACAATAGTATGAGTCTAGAACACACAATGAATAAAAGAAATCAAAGCACCTAGAAAAGATTTAAATTTTCTTAAATGTTTATTTTTGAGAGAGAGAGAGACAGACAGTGTGAGTGGGAGAGGGGCAGAGAGAGAGGGAAATACAGAATGTGAAGCAGCTCCAGGCTCTGAGCTGTCAGCACAGAGCCCGACATGAGGCTCGAACCCAGGAACCGAGAGATCATGACCTGAGCCGAAGTCAAACACTTAACTGATAGAGCCTCCCAGGTTCCCCCACTTAGAAAAGATGAAAAAGAAAATAGTCCTGAAGATTTAGACCAAAGAAGACATTAAAGATGCCATCACAAGTGTATTTAGAAAATAATCAGAACTATATCACATGATGAAAACAAAGTATGAAGCCAAAGTCATCCGCAGGAAGAAAATCTGTAGCTTTATATGGGCTGATTATAAGACAGGAAAGAATAAAAGCAAATAAACCACACGTTCAACTGAAGAGATTAATGAGTTCCCCAAAGAAAGGTTAGTGGGCATTTGTGTTGCTGCTTTTCAGAGAATTGTTTTTGGCTGTCTAGAATCTGAAGCTGCTCGGTATATTGGGAAAATCCACCATGCTGTGGATCTTGGAATCTAGAGCCTGCATACACGTATCACCTAGAGGGAGCCAAGCAGATGCTGCCCCCTGAGGCGCTGAATCTCCAGTACCTGCCCAAAAGCAGCAGGGAGTAGCTCAGCCTTCATTCTGGTCACCACGGCCAGCATTTAGAGGCTGAGCCAGCGCATCCCAACGAGCTGTCCCTGGACACCACTGAGATTCCTCGTTCCTGCTCACTCCCCGGTCCCCTAGGCCCCTCTACTTCTCTGGGCCACCTCGTATCCTTCTCCGATGCATTCTTTCCCAGCTTACATTAACCAGCACCACTTTCTGTTGCTAATAACTTCAATCTCCTGAGCAAAAACAGAAGAAAACAATATACAATAAAGAAATCAATGAGAGGACGTAACTGTATGGCAGTGGTGAGTCAACTCAAGAACCATTTTAAGAGACCGATAAAACTGGCAAACCCTCTCATGAGTCTAGTTACTGAAAAATGAAGATCGCAAATACTTTTACAAAGGAAAACCTGCGCGTTATTCTAACGTTTAAACACGAGAAGATGATGCACAACTCTGTATCTGATGAAAGTAAGAGATAAATTACCAACATTAACGGGAGTAGGAAATGAATATACTATCAGCAGTGGAAGAAATGCCAAAAAGTTGTTTTAAAGTTGTTTAAAAAAAATCCCTCCCTTCCTGAAGGGCACAGAGCCAGATTGGTTTTGGGTAAGTTCCTTCAAATCTGTGTTAAACTATTCTGGGACATGGAGAAAGGGCAGATGGGCAGAAGAAGCCCAGGACAATGGGGACCCTGACCCCAGTCCCTGCCCCCCGTTGCCTTTGCGTCAGTGGGTGCATCTACTGTTGAGTGGGGTTCAACCCGCTGTGTAGACAGGCCATCTTGCTATGCGATTCTGATCCAGCTTTGTTACTTAGGCCAGTGAAGCCTACAGCACTCACCTAAGTCATACTAATCAATCCCTGGGATGAGACCTTTATGCCCCTGCACGCGGGAGAAGGGATGCTTCTGCTCACTCCTGTCCACACCTTCTAAGGGAAATCGAGGAAACACGCACAGGGAGGGGTCCTCACCCACGAATTCTCACTGGAATGACATCAGGGATAAGGGACTGGGGAGCTAATGGCAAAGAACTTTTCCTGGAGAAACGCAGGACGCCCAGCGTGAACGCCAGGACACAGCGAGTGTAAACCAGAAGGGTCCTGGGGTCACCCTAGATGGGACCTGGTGAGGGTTCAGGGCGGAGGAGCCCCTTTCTCTTAGGCGGAGCCTGGAGGAGGGAGACGTCTTCTCCTTTTAGGGTTAAGCGTGGCTGGGAGCCTCGGGGACCTTCGGCGGCAGGGCTCCGCGCAGATGCTGGCCTGCTGGGGACAGCTCGGGCGCAAGGACCCCCAACACGCTCCAGGCCGCAGGCGGGGCCTCCGCTGTGCAAAACGACGCTCACAACCGACGACGCAACTGGTAGGAATCACGGAAGGGGGGGGCGGTCCCGCGTGCGGTGCGCTCCCGAGGGAGGGGAGGGTACGGAGCGCGCGGTTCACAGCTCCCTGGGGACAGGTGCCCTTTTGCAGTTGACAAGTGGGCTTAGCGCTCCGTAGTGGCGAGCCCCACATTTATTGGCAAATTACCCAATAAGTGTTGCCCCCCCGCCCCCCCCCTGCTGGCCAGAGTCCTGTGGGCCGACTGCACCCAGGGCACCGCGCGGGGAAAGAAGAAACGGCGCCGCCGTCTTCCTGCCGCAGGTCCCCGTCCGGTCGCAGTTCTGTCCCCCAAGGCCGACCTGGGAGCTCCCCCTCCAAACCGCGCCTGAGGGGGGCGATGTTGTCCGCGAGCAAACGCAGGCTTCGCACCAAGTCCCCAAAGCGCGGAGAGCTGAGCCTTCCCTCCGCACGCGGGGCCGTGGCGCGCGAGAGGCCCCGCCCGGCCTGCCCCCCGCCCCCGCCAGCCCCCCGCCCCCGCGCCCCGCGCCCCCGCCGCGCGGCCCCCGGGTCTCCACGCAACAATGAGGCGTGGGCGGCCCCGGCGGCCTCATTTGCATACCGCCGCGGCTCGGCCAATGGGCGGCGCGGGGGCCCCGGCACGCCGTGTTGCCATCTGCGTGCGCGCGTGTGTGCGAGTGTGACAGCGGCGGTGGCCGTGGCCGTGGCCGTGGAGGCGGGCCCGGCGGAGCCCAGCCGCGCGGGGACCGGCCCCGGCGCCCGCTGCCCCAGCGCGTCGCGGCGGCGCTGCCCGGCCGAGCCCGGAGACACCCCCCCCCCCCCGGCCGGGGCGCAGTCGCGATGTCGGTGGCGGGGCTCAAGAAGCAGTTCCACAAAGCCAGCCAGGTAGGGAGGCGCGGGGGAGGGCGGGAGAGGGGGGCCCGGCTGGGGCGCGCACGTGCGGTGGGGGCCGCCGCCCCCCGCAGCCCCCCGGCCCGCGCTCTGCCCCGCGCGGCGTCCCTTGGAGAGCCTCCGTGGGCCGGGGGGCAGAGGGGGCGCGCCGCAGGGGCTCGCGCGCGGGAGGGGGCGTCCGGAGGCCTGCGCGCCGCGCTCGGCGCCGCCGCCCCGCTCTGGGCCCGGGGGCCCCGGCGCCGTCGGTCGCCTACCTGGAGGCTGGGGGTCCCCCGGGCGCGTCCTGCAGCCTCGCGGCGAGTCTGGCGATGCCGGGCCCCGCGCGCTCCCGGAGGTGGCCCCCCGCGGACCGCGCCGCCCTCCGGGGCTCCCCGTGGCGGGGCCGCCCCTGCGCGCCGACCTGGCGGCGCCCGCCCGGCTCCTGCCCCGGGAGAGCCGCGGTCTGGCGCGGAGACGCGGGCTGACACGTAAACAAACAGTGCGAGACGCACCTCCGCGCGCAGAGCGAGGCAGACGGCGCGGCGGGGGCGTCCGGGAAAGCTTCCCGGAGGAGGAGACGCGTCGTTTGCGAATTAAGCACGCGGAGGAATTGGGGTTAAGGGTGGGTGTGGGATCGAAGGGGGAAGGGCGCTCTGAGCGGAGGAACAGGGAAACAGGAAAACAAGCAGTGGGGGGTGGTGGGGGAGGCACGAAACGGCTGTGTGTGCGTGAGTGTGTGTGAACAAGCGCATTTGATTTCCAAGATTGCAGCCTCCTCCCGCCTCACATCGTAGAACCTGTCCCCCGCCCGCAGCCCTGGGTCTGCTGCTCTGTCCCTCTGTCCCCCCAAGCCCCAATTTGGCTAGCACCAAGGTGGACACATTTCATTCCGAATCCACATTTATGAGATCTCCTCCCGCTTCTCCCACAAAGTGACGAGCAGCTGAAATGAGATAATTCCCTCCTTCTAGCCTCAGTCCCAGGCTCCCTTCCATGAAGAAACTGGGTGACGTGCAGATTCTGGTCGGGGACACTGGGTGGACAGTCGTGCTATTCAGGGGGTAAGGAGTCCTGGGGGTGCGCGGCCGCCAGGTGACTGGGGAGCTGGTGTATATACCTCGCTGGCCCTGGGCCCTTTGAGGGGTCTGTGGGACATTGCGATGTCACTGGCCTGGGGACAGGTGCGTGTCCTGCTCTGGGGCTCAGGGCATGAGGCCAAGATTGGAACTGGACTTTTTGGGATTTAAGCTCTAAGTGAACATTAAAACATGTAAGTGCAAGGAAGTCAGAAAATGCACGAAGAGCTAACTGTAGACTCTAGGGAACAGCCACATTTAGGGACAATGTTTAGCAGCGGCCACTGAATAAATATTTACTGAATAAAGGAAACTTTTGGGGTGGAGGAGCACAGGAAGGAAAGAGCTGGTGGAAGGCAGGAGGGAGAAGAGTGTGACGGAAACCCAGGGGTGGGGGGCATTTAAGGCAGGGCAGGATCCTTCAACAGGTGCTGCTGTGAGCTAAGAAGTGAAGGGAGCTCTTGAGGCTGGGAGGCTGGGAGCCACTGTGGTCAGGCCAGGGCCGGAGTAATCGCTGGCTGTGCCTTTTTTCCACTGGCTTCCTTAGCACTTGCAAGGAGCTGGCCTCCTTTTTCGTAGATTTTCATGTATTTTGTATGAGCTTCCTAGAAGCCCATTTCAGATAATGCAGACATAAGCCCTAAGGTGATTCAAGTTAGTTATTTTCTTTTTTCTTTCTTTCTTTTTTTTTTTTAGTTTATTTATTTACTTTGAAAGAGAGAGGGAGGGGCAGAGAGAGAATTCCAAGCAGGCTCTGTGCTGTCAGTGCAGAGCCCTATGTGGGGCTCCATCTCATCAACCATGAGATCATGACCTGAGCTGAAATCAAGAGTCAGATGCTTAAACTGACTGAGCTACTCAGGTGTCCTTCAAGTTGGTTTCTGACCACTGGCCAGAGCAAATGGTTGAAATCTTAGCAAGTTATTGGCATTGGAGAAATGTCATGCTAGTGAGGAGGTCATTTTGTTTAACCACTATCAGTCCATTAATAAAATGAGAGTGGGTCTAATTTAGCCTTTTTTTTTTTTTTTGGCATGAACTGAGATCTTTTGTGCATTTATCTGAAAAGAAAGGCATCACAGATTCTCTGTGTGCTTTATGCAAACCACATTTTGTGGTCAAAGCGCCCAGTAGATACATTTTTATCTGTTTTAGAAGTTTTTTTTTTAACATTTTTTTTTAATGTTTTATTTATTTCTAGGAGAGAGAGAGAGCGTGAGCAGGGGAGGGTCAGAGAGAGAGGGAGTCACAGACTGAAACAGGCTCCAGGCTGTGAGCTGGCAGCACAGAGCGCGACGCGGGGCTCGAACCCACAAACCGCGAGATCATGGCCTAAGCGAAAGTCGGATGCTTAACCGACTAAGCCACCCAGGCGCCCCTAGAAGTCTTTCTAAGAAATCTTGCAATGGGACAGACTTGGCAGAGAAATTACACTGGGTTTAATAGAAGATGTGGAGCAAGACCATGCCAGACGTTCATCTCAGACTGCGTCTTGACAGAAGGTTTTAATTCATGTAGAACCTTCCCAGGGCAGGGGAAAGGAGTCCCAGATGCTGTCAGTGGCTTGATAATTCCCAGGGCCCAGCTGCCACTGACCAGCCCTGTGACCTCGGGAACGTGACTTAACCCATCTAAACCTTCGTTTTGTCTGTACCTTGGATTAGAAGATTTGGAAGCTATGTCTCTTTTCTGAAATTGATGGTAGTGATGCTTGCACAGCTCTGCAAATATTCCAGAACCCATGGAATTGCACACTTTAATGGATGAGTTGTATGGTATGTTATATCTCAATAAATACCTCTTAGTTCTGAAATTATACATATGTAGTTCTGAAATACTTAACTCACTTAAATTATTTCAGAGAAAAATGATAGAGTGGATCTTTTTCAAGTAAGGGAAGTAGGACTTTGGTGGATAGAGATGATTTTATTCATCAATAGGCAAAGTAAACTAACATATAACCTCCTGATGAACTGATCCTTCTTTCTCGGTCCCTCACCTATCTCCAAGGGAAAAAAATCCCCCTTATTTTACAGAGAATGAAGAACTATAAACCCCGGAGATTATGCACCATTTTGGCAGCACATGGGGACCAACAGAGAAGAAGGAGAAATAAAGTTAAATGGCAAGAGTGCAAGTCCAGTTGATCGCAAAATTTAATGATTAATTGTTCTCTTCAGCATTTGGGACTCAGAACCCAAGTGTCCCTAGTTCATAATTAAAGTACTTTTTTCTTCTTGGAAGGATTTTTTAATTTGCCCTTCTACTGGCTGGGGTTTAGATTGAGTTATTAGAGAAAAATACAAATTGCTTAGAGATGGCCTTATGGTTTCCTATTAAGCATGTGGTGCCTGATTAATAAAAATACGACATAGAGTCATTGTATTAGTGTCAGCACCGATGGATTTGTATCAGTTATGCTTGTTTCATGGGAATTTTCTGGACAGTGGTTACTGTTGGTGCAGGGTGCTCGGGCCACACCTGTACTTCCTCTGACCCGGGCACTGTGTGAATAGCCAGATTCTTTCTCTTTCTGGACCCCCAGGAGACTTGTCCCCATCCAAAGGAGGTCTAGAGAGCAGTTTTTTGTTTCTTTGTTTTGTTTTTTTTAATTTTGAGGCAGGGAGGGGCAGAGAGAGAGAGGGAGACACAGAATCCGAAGCAGGCTCCAGGCTCAGAGCTGTCAGCACAGAGCCCGACGTGGGGCTTGAACTCACAGACCATGAGATCATGACTGAGCCGAAGTTGGACACTTAACCGACTGAGCCACCCAGGCGCCCGGAGAGAGCAGTTTATCTTTCTTCTTTTGCTTCTTTTTCTCCTCAGATTGACTGTATGGTGATGACCCTAGATGGTGGTGAATTTACTCCTAGCCCTTATGTGGTGGTGCCCTTTAACCTTTATCCTGTGACCCAGCAACAATAGAGAATGTGGATGTAACACAGTGTCTTGGGGGTAACTCCCCCCTTTCTCTTTTAAAGCATTAACCAGAAAGATGACAAGTGGTCATAAGAGGCCTAGACGTTTTTCATTTAACAACTAACTGCACATACTGGCCATTTATGGGTAAACCCTTCAGAGAAGGATAGTCTTTGTAAATTATGAGAATCTCCAGGGAGGCAATGAATGTCTCTTGTTTCACTGTCTCGTTAGAGAGAAAGATAAAAATGCACTTTACAAAATCCATAATGATTTATTTATTTTTTCTCTTAGATGCATCAGAAAATATATTGGGCTAAAACATTCTTGCTCCTTTCTGCATAGACTGCTTGATAAATTCATCTATAAATCTTTGTAGTTTTGTTTTGAAGTCAGGGTGCTAGAATAGATATCCAAGCAAATTGACTTTGATTTTTTTACACAATATTATCCAAACATGTCTTACCTCTGGTGACTTTTTTTTTCCCTCTAAAATCAATGTAGTTTAGGATATTACTTGGAATTTGGTTTAAAAACGTATTTGGAAGTGTGGATTTTTTGGCTGGCTATTTTTTTTCAGATTGACTTTTCAGCTTTATAAACAAATTGAATGCAAATTACATTTCCCAAAGTTAAGCGTGTGTTGGGGGGGAACTTGTGAATCTGGGGGAACTGAATTTGGCTTTCTTTACCCAGAAAATAAAACTGCTGGTAAACAGAGCTGATACACCACTGTATTTGGCTAAATAATAGGCGACTGTGTTCTGGAGATTCTGCATCAACAAAATGTGGACAGTGGGGTTTTGCTTTTCAGTAGAAACCCAGAAAACTGTTGAGTTGGGGGAGGGCTCTGGGGGAGCACTCTGGTGGGATTAGGGAGGTATTATTGCAATTCTAACTATTCAACTCCTGTGAAACGCCATCCGTGCAATGCCCAGAGTCACCCCCACATGTTTTTATCACCGCACCCGCGGCAGTGACCTTCCTGAGCCCCGTGTTGTTCCTTCTGGCTTTCTTTCTAATCCGTCGGATGGTAGTGACTTGCCCCTGGCACTGGATGCATCTCCCTCCGCCACTGATGCCACCAAGTGCTCTCCTTGCCTGCTCAGAGCAGCCGTCCACGCAGAAGCTGTTGCTCTTTCCGGCCGGATGGTTCTCCTCCAACCTCATCCTCCAGGCTGTACTGCTGTTCTCACCCCCTCTGGACATCCCGGAGGGTCCCAGGGCTCCGGCTGGGGCACCCCTTCTTTTCTCAGCCTCCACACCGCCGACGTGTCTTATCCGGCCCCACGCACATACAGACCATCTATATGTTGGTCGCTCTGTAAATTGTGTCCAGTCCGGATGCTCCTGAATACAGACTCC